CCATATTCTTATAAAGATTGGCTGGCTGATATCAAAGCATTTATGATCAGTGTTAATACAATGAGTACAGAGTCTTAATCTTGAAATGGTCAATTACCCTTTGATCATAGGAACATTTCATTCTCTGAAATCAAGATCTGTTGCCTATGTGGTCGCAATGTTCTGGCCAACCACAGAGCACATTAGGATTCACGACTAGGGGGTAGTATCTAAAATTAACTTTATAAAAGCCATTTTCTTTAGTGATAAATCTTCATCACTTAATCATGTTGACCCATCTCACTGAGCTATTTTTGCATTTTTCAAAGCATTTTGTCCTTGTTTCCTTCTTAGGACTCTCCTATTTGAATTAGGTGGATGCATCAAACTTTCTTTTACCAAGGCAATGAGGCCAAGTAAAAGTTTGACTCCTTTTACATTTATTTCAGTTTTATAGTGTTGAACTTTGAAATTTCTTTTTTTTCCCCTCACTTAGCTATTATGCTGCTCCATGCAGTTGCCAGGGTCATGAGCTTTTTGCATCATCTGTACTGCAAATATTATTACTATTAAGATTTAGACAGAGGGCCAAATTTATCTCAGTTTCCATCATTTATCTTTCAGTAGTAAATCACAATGATTTGCGACAGAATTTTTCCCCCACCTAATTTCCAGGAAAGCACTCATAAGAAAACCTGATATATATTTTTTCCAATAGAACTAAAGAGATAAAGAACCTCCCTTGTCTGACCTATGTCTGGTGTTGGAAACACTTTCTTGGAACACCAGTGAGGTCAGCTTAGTGATATTAAAGAATGTCCCTTAATATTGTCTAAAACCTCCATTGTTTGGATTTCTTGGGTTAAATATTTCTGTAATTACCAATCTTTATCTCATGCTTCAGATTCAGAAGTGACAGACAATCTGGCAGCCCTTTACTACTCTGTTTCTCCCTGAGCTCTTTTCAAAGAACTTCTTGGTTTTTCCAAGAGAAGCATTTAGTTCTTAATCCTCATGTTAAACTTTTGGCCAAGTTGCTGGAGAGAGCCAGAGCTAGGACAGCTGGATATGAGCCATCGGTTCATCTTTATCATGTTGATCCACTGCAGGCCAGAGAGAACTAGCAAGAAAACCCACGTACAACTCCATAGTCCAAGGGGGCATAAAAGAGAAGACAGTTTAGGGAGGTCAAGCTGGATTGATGTGTAGCAACCACTGAAAATCCAGTTCACCCCACTGGTTGGAGACATGTGTCTCAACTATGTACTTATTTAAACACCTATAGGTCTTAACGACGCAGTGTTTGAGTCACTGGACTGGGGATTCCCATTTCTTCTTTTGTTCATTAAGGAGTTGTGTTACTTTATCACTTTCTGAGTTGCCTGCTCAATCTTGGCTGGTTATTTATTAGCACTTGGGGGCATGGCTATGAAAAAGAAGGAGACTTCCTTTGATACCTGACTATATGACTGTGATATTTTTTCTTGGAACAGATCTGTGAGTGACTGCAATGCATTTATATTGGAAAAGAGTGTCATCATTCTAAGATATCTGCAGTACAACATTTAATAATTAGTACTACTTAATACATGAACAGTACTTAATAGCCTAGTATAGGGGTTAGCAAACTTTTCCTGTAAATGGCCAGATAGTGATATTTCAGTCTTCTGGCCATATGGTCTCTGTCTTAAATACTCAACTCTGCTAGTGTAGTGTGAAAGCAGTCATAGACAATACATGAATGGGTGTAGCTGTATTCTGATAAAATTTTATTTATGGGCACTGGAATTGGAATTTCACATAATTTTCACATGTCAAAAAATATTCTTTTGTCTTTTTCCCCCAACTGCTTAAAAATGTAAAAGTCATTCTGTGCTCACAAGTGATGTAAAAACAGGCAGTGGTCTGGAGTCTGAGTAGATTTGGTTTGCCAACCCTTTTTATAGTAAATAGAGACCATGGCTTAAGATTTGGCCCTGGATTTGAGACTGGGATCTATTATTACTAGACTTGTAACCTTGGGGAAGTTACTCAGTTTTCCCAAACCCTAGTTTTCTTTTTATAAAATGTAAATTATAATACACAAGCTCTCATGGTAGATAAGAATTAAATGACATAATTTATGCAAGTGCCCTGAATGTTCCCAAACAATGCACAGTGTAGAATGTAATATTGTTGTTAATGTATTATGTACTGATACTGTGCTTTGTCAAAATTTCTTCGTAGCCTTACAGGCTTTTGACTTCTAGATGACTGCATCAGAAATTCTCCGAGGCATTAACTGCAGAAATATTAGGAAGAGGTATGTATTACTCCATTTTAAATGAAAGGATTACATTTCCTTAAACAGGCTGACCATAAAATCTAAAAATAAGATAATATGATTTTACTATATTGTAATACAATATCAATGAATCATCTATTATGCATATAGTGACTATGTTTTCAACTTTGTAGCCATCCATTGAAAGATAATCATAGAAGATACTGTTTCTCATTTATGTAGGGTGTTTAATTTCCAACTACCCTTTTGACTTTTCTGACTCACATAGAGTAGTATCCAAGTAAAGGAAAGAAAGACTGAAAACTAGTCCAGACTACTAGCAAGCTATCTTGGAGATGACTATGAATATTTTGATTCTTTTTTTAATCTTGAATTACTCAGCTAATCAAATGACTTCACATTCTTTGGGTGAGTTCAACTAGTTTTCTAATGGCATTTTTATAATCTCTCTGTCCACCAGCTCCCACCTTTCTAAACAGATTCTGGACATCCCAAAGACATTGGCTTAAATCTAAATTAAAAAGCAAAGGGGAAAAAGTAAGAAACCTGAAATGTAAGAAAATGTAGGGAGGGAAAGCATAAGGATGTTGCTCTTGAAACTTCAAAATTTAGGCTTTTGAATGAAGTCGTAAATAATTTTTTAATCAGAGTACAATGAGAAATAGACATTTCAGAGCCCTAGTTTGGTTAAACCTGCAAGAGAAAATTGTGCTTAAGAAATAGGTTGACATTTTTAGAGACAACAGCTGGATTGTTGTTAGAGAACATAAGATAATGAACTAAGTCAATGGACCTGGCACTGGGGAACTACGAACAGCACAAAAGAGAGAGACAGACAGTGGAAGGGAGTGGGGGAAGAGGGAGTTCCTTCTCATGGACATGGAGTGGCTGTATGTTGGGTGAACAGGCTGGAATGCCATGTTTTGAGGAAATGGATAAGCAAAGACCTAGCAGTACAGTGATTGTAAATATGTTAATTCAAAAGAGTATCATTTGCCAAGGGAACAGCCAAAACATAAATAATTTTATTAGTTACATAAAGTTGACTCATAAACAAATTGGTTTTCCAGTTGGAAAGCATATTGGAGTGAATGGAAGTGAGAATCTGAGGGTCTCATCAGCCCTTGGGGAGGTCGTGCTTCTAGCTGAGTCTGCCCTTTTCTCCAGATTGGGGTCAACTGTGGCAAACCATAACCCTATGGTTCAAAATTCTTATCTGGCTATCAGATCCCACCATGCTTTTATGGAAGGTGACTCAAACACACCAAACTAACAGATCAAAATATCAAGTTGAGAGTGATCCTCATTAGTTATGGATATTGTTGCATTCCAATAGGCTGACTTATTTTCATAGCACTTGATTTCCTAACAAAGTGACTGTGTGAATGGGAACTCGATAGGATGGAAAAGAACGAGCAGAAATTGTGGGCTCGTCTTTGTTGTACAGTCTTAATGAAAAACACCATTCAATACTTGCTGCTTAGAAAATTCAGTCTTAATGAGCTTCTTTCAATTCCAAATTTTAACAGTTGACACAAAATACACTGTTAAACTGTGTTATCAATAATTGTAGAAAAATAGACATGTTTGATAGGGACATTCTAGTAAAAGGTTCTTCTGGAGCATCCTTGTTTAAAGATTCAGAGGCTCACATTACAAAAACGAGATTTGGTTCATGTTCTGTCTCCAACTACATTGACGCCAAAGACAATGAGAAATAGGGCGAGACCTCACCCCTGGGTGCCCTGTCACAGATAGAGAACTAACACGTGTGCATGACCAAAGGGTTGTCAAGGCTCTTTGTTTAGTTGTGCTAGAGGGCCCCAAACTATTATTCCAACCAGACAACAGGATGTGTGTTGTCCTTTGAGCCTTAGTAATGGATTTAAAAAAGGCCCACTGAGTCGCCAAGAGCTAAACTAGCAGACTTTTTGCAGCCCATGCTTCATCTTTCTTTATGCTACCATGCTTTGCCCTGCAAGTCTGGGGATGTTGCAGGGTTAGCACCCCCAAGTCAAGGGCGCCTTTCATAAGGCTACAGCGAGGTAAGGCCACAGCACCTCCCCACAGCCTGGTAGGAAGTATATGGGGCTCCCTCTTCCTCCTCGACTACAACCTCCTCCTTGGATTGTGTGGAATGAATAAATGATTCAACAGATATTCAATGCAAAATGTGAAATGTTGGCAAACAGGAAAGGGCTATGGCCAACAGTTTCATTTCCAGTTAAGTCCAAGTGCCAAGAAGCAGGTGTCCTGATGTGAGGTCTCAGAAGTGGGAGAAGAGAGACCCCCTGTGTTAAACTGAGGAGTCACATTCCTTACATCTGGGGCATGCTTTTTAGTAGATAAGATCCCCAACATACAAAGAAGGCCTGCGCGATCTGGTCAAGGAAGTCAAGGGCAACAGGGAGTGAGTGATAGCTAGTTTGAGTTCTTCGACCTTCATGGCAGAAAGCCTCAAACTGAGCACAGCCATAGCAGCTGAAAAGGAACTTGAGTTTGGTCGATGAATATTTATGATGGGCGACTGTTTTAGGGAACAAATAGTTTAAAATTGTGAAATTAATGTGAAAGATCTGTTACAGTGCAAAATTTCCACCTGCCCTTGAGATTTTGTCTGACATTCTCTTCCATTTATCTTTTTATTTGAAAATTTTTCATCTTGAATTTAGAGTTTTAGTACAAAACGCCTTCTTTCTCTCTTTCTCTCTTAATCTCTCTCTCTCTCCTTTTATCTTTGCAGATTAAAATGAATTAAGGCTGCAGTTTTTTGCTTGTTTTCTTCTGATTGGGAGACATTTTGGATTTGATTTTTCACCCATGGCACTCTCTAGAAAGATTTCATAGTCACCTAGATTGTTGATCTAATCTTTACTACTGAACTCTGGTCATTTCATAATAATAGAAGAATAAGAATAGTAATAAATACAAATGCAGGAAATGCTGATGGATAAGCTGGCAGGGACAGGAAGAGAGCCAGATGGATTCAAAGTTTGTAAGGAGAATGATTACAATACATGTCTCCTACCACATGCCTTCATGAATGTCATGGCTTTAGACCCAAACCATCTTCTGCTAAATTACCATGTCTCATTTTTTAAAGTCTGTAGTTTCTCATGATTACAGAGTGGAACAGCTGGAGAATCCATGGTTTTGTAGAAGAGTTTCCCAAACTCTTGTACTGCAAAGGGTGGCAGCTCATGGGAAAAGCATAAACACATCATTGGTGACATGCCAGAGGGTGTCCTCCCCCTGGAATATCCCCACAGGCTAATCAGTGAGGCTCCTGTTACCAAAAAAAGAGACCTCAGTTTTGTAAACATTTCACAGTATATCAGCATAATGGTGGTGGGTTTTGCCATGTACTAGACCACCTAACTTCCCCCAGACCTATGGCTTATTAGATTCAATGAAGGAATCAGCAAGGGAGCAGTGAGGTACCCAAACACTACCAGTCTGGGACACGGAACGAAGGCCATGCACTAAGGGCCGGAGTCAATGGGACCAAAGAAATTAAGGAAGCAAAGACATCAGAACAGAAATGCCTACTGTACACTGGGAATCTTTTTTTTTTTTTTTTGCATCTTATTTCTAAAGTTATATATCTAAACCTATAATAATTATACATTTATGTACATTATTTAGAAGTTCTACAGTACTTTTGTACATGCTGGGCTTTATTACTAACTGCGAAAAGAAAGTAATTACATAAGGCATATATATGTACAGTGTTTTGTCTTTACCTGACCTGGGTCCTATAACTGCAATGCCGGTATGGGTCAAGCACCTCACCCTGTAGATGAAATTTATTTGAATCTATAAAACTGAGGGTTATATGCTATGTCTCACTGCATGAATAATAGGCACCAGAGACCTAACTTGTCATATCCCAGGTAAAATCTTTGACACACTCTTTGAGTGATCTGGTATTGTACAAGACATGCAGGTAAGTAGCTTAAATCCCTAGGAGTCGGATGTGTTGTATTTCGGGAAGAGAGCAAGCTTGGGCCACAAATGAGGGCATGTTGCACCTTAACCAAATCCACGTCTACCTTATCAATCTGAATAACTGAGAGAGGGCAGGTAGATATTTTACACCTTGAAGATTTGTTTTCTGATAATGTCAAAATTAAATATAAATAAATAAACAACCAAGTAAGAGAGACAAAAAAGAAAGAGAATGAGAGACAAGAAAAGGTTGTGCGAGGGGAGAGGAGAAGGAGCTGCCCAGCTAGGAGACTAAACTTTGGATTCGTTCTCTAGGTTTGCCACATCACCATTCCTTTCTGTTTGTTCCTCGAGGTTCTTTTCTTCTTCTTCGGTCTCCAGTTCTGCATGTTGATTGAGTTTGCTGGACACAGACCAACTCAGGGGCAGCTCTGCCCTGCTGGCTAGCTCAGCCAGCTCTTTGGCACTGAGGGATGGGGTGCTGGTCTCATAGGTCTCATGGAAACTGTTGTAGTCGACCTCATAGAACCCGTCTTCCAGCGTCAGGACAGGTGTGAACCGGTAACCCCACAGGATCTCACTCGTGATGTAGGAACTCCGAGCCTGGCATGTCATCCCTGCACAGAAGGGAACAGATAGAGGCTTTAGTATGTGTGAGTGTGGGCTTTCCATCAGCAAGGGGACTCAGTGAGCTGGGCATGGCTGCTGGGTGCAGCTGGTCAGACTGCCCCTTGCAAAATGAGGGGCGTCATTCCCGTTGCAGACATACACTAACACACACAGGAGTGTGTGGAGGAGCTTCCCTGCCTTCCGGGGGTCGTCCCAGGGGGCAACTTGAGTTCTGGCTCACATGAAATCCCACTTGCCTGCAAGGCCATGCACACACACAGGAAGGCGTGTGTGCACATGCACATGGGTACACACTCACGTGATTGTGCCTTGTCCACTTTTTGCCCTGGGAGAAACCATGACCCTGGCATCCGATTGTTTTTAGAGGCTTTGCCTGAGTCCTACTGAGACTTGACCATTCTGGCCACAGACTTAGGATGAAATTGGTTTATGGATCTACAGCTAGGATGGCTTTAAGCTGAATGCCATGGGTTACTTTTACTGTCCCACCGGCATGTCATGCAGGCCACGAATGCAGCCCCCAGATGAAGTTGGAAGGTATGCCCACCTGATTCACATTTTCCCCAGGCTCAGTGGAGATAGTTATTTAGACTGTGCAGTGATATAATACTTTAGTCTTTCCCCCTTCTTCTTAAAGACAAGAAGCCCTTTCCTAATTTGCACAGAAATGCCATGTGAGCTACTGGAGCCTGGGAGTCAGGAGCAGCTTTATTTTAATATGAAATGACAGAATGAGGGAAATTCCACCCATGTCCTTAGAGAAGAAAACTAGGTAACTGGCTTGGCATAAAATCTGGGGAATGCACTAGTGCACTGCTCAAAGGGCTCTCTTATAAAACTTCTCAGGATGAGGAAGCATCCACTGACTAGTTCCTACAGGGACGACTTCCCCCTTAGCTAGGCATGTCCAGGATCTAGGACCCACAGTGCTTTCAAGGACCTATGAAAATTCTTTTAAAACCAGAAAAAAAAGATAAACTCTTAGGTAGAAGAAAATGTTAATATAGTCATCTTTATACTAATCTGATTGTAAAATGTAATATAATTAAACCATTTTTGGGGTCCATAAAGGTAAAACTCTCCAGGACTCACAAAAGTCATCCTGTGGGCCCTGTTCATTAATTCAAGAAAACAGCCAGGCAGGCAGGGTGTCATTCACTGGGACAGCTAGTAAGGTGTAGTGGGCACTGCTTTGTGCTGAATGCAGGAAGAGTGGGGGGAAGAGGACACATGTGGGTGTTTATACACAGAGTTTCAGAGTCATGGGATGTGCTCAGAGCATTGCACTTGCTCCTTGTGACCAGAAGAAGAAACTGGGGTGCCAGGGACCTAAGCAATTTACCCCACTCAGCTGTCAGGGCTGGAGTCAGCATTGCCCTCACTCCATCCCTATGCTTTTCTTCTTCTTCTTTTTTTTTAAATTTAATTTTATTTTTTCAGTGTTCCAAGATTCATTGTTTATGCACCACACCCAGTGCTCCATGCACTACGTGTCCTCCTTAATACCCACCACCAGGCTCACCCAACCCCCAACCCACCTCCCCTGCAAAACCCTCAGTTTGTTTCTCAGAGTCCACAGTCTTTCATGGTTCGCCTCCCGCTCTGATTTTCCCCAACTCACTTCTCCTTTTCTCTCCCAATGTCCTCTGTGTTATTCCTTATGTTCCATAAGTAAGTGAAACCATATGATAATTGACTCTCTCTGCTTGACTTGGCATAATCTCCTCCAGTCCCCTCCATGTTGATACAAAAGTTGGGTATTTATGCCCATGTTCATCTTCTTGCCTTATCTTGAATAGCCTTCTTGGGGTCCTGAGTGGGATCCTGCTCATCTGTGAAGAGCTAACTAATTTGTCATCTCCTTTCTGGAGCACTCTGTTACTGACCAGTCCCTAGCTCCAACACTCCAGGGACACCTTATACCATCAGTTGAAATTACCTCTAAGTGTGTGTTTGCCTTGTTGAGTTGTGATCACACTAGGGCTCATTGGTCTTGTTTATTTCCATGTTCCTAGCCTTTATCTCAGCGCTTTGACATTGTAGCTTCCCAGTAAATATTCATTGTCAAGTGAAAAAGCTCAACTTAGGGACACTACAGAGAAGCAGCTTAATTAAAATGGTTGATTAGAAATGTCTGATATGTATTATTAAATAGAAAGATGGCTTGTGAGTCCTTAGGAAAGTGGGAGGTTTCTGCTTCCAGCATTATGCTGTTCTATCTGTGAAGGACCCTCAGCTAAAATACAAACTAGGTGCTGGAAAATTAAAAAACTTAATTTAACCAAAAGTAATTTCAATTAAAAAAGTAAGGGATAGGACTTTTGGTTCTGGTGAAGATGGAATAAATACAGGGTTTCTCTCCTGTTGATTACAAACAACTAACTCCTCTAGACGAAACCTTTTACAGGAAGACTCTGGAAAGTAATACTGGCACGATGATGGGGAGGGGTACCGAATGTGAAGATTGACTTCTCAGGGGGTACATTTCTTGTTTTTCCATTTTCCTTTTCCATCATCTGATTTTAACCTGAGAATGAACCCAACACAGAACTGAGCAGTAGGTGCTGACAACAGTCTTGGGGAGAAACCCTGTCCTTCTGACCAGAGCACTGGGACAAGGTGGCCCTCTGAGTCAGAAGATGAGAGACAAAGTCCCCTTCAGGTACCCCATCCCCCAGGGCTGCCCCATGGGGAACTACTCCACATGCAACATAGTACAGGCCCTCCAATTTTTCTGGCCAGAGGACTGGGAAAGGGGATTGTGGACAAAGAGTTTGTGGTGGTGGTTTTCTCATTTCTCACTGCTTTACTCTGAGAGTAACCTGAGTGTGTGCAACCACACAGAGCCCAAGCAGGCTAGCATTCAGAGGGAAATGCTGTCTTTCTAGACAGAAGACAGAGCAGTAGGGGTCTGGGAGCTGAAAAAAGGTAGGGAATCCTACAGAGGACAGAACTGGGGAAAAGAATTCTGTGCAGGAGCTCATGCAAGTCCTGAGCTTTGCATGCACAGGGCAGAAAGCAAAAAGAAAAGATGAATTTTAGAAATTACTGAATAATATTCATATATACATAATATACAATATAATATACATAATATACAATCACATTTGAAACAGCTACCATCAAAGAAGAAACCCTACTGAAATTCAGCAATACTTGATACTGAATGATATTGAAATTCTAAATGTCATAATTATGGGATACATGGAAAGTGAGAAAAATGTATAGGTCTAAATTCTTACATTAGATAAGAAGGAAGTCTGAAAATGAATGTGCAGAATATCCAACTTAAAGTGGAAAAAGAAAAACAGGGTGTAGAGATGCTGAATCGCTACCTTGCTCACCTGAAACTATTGTGACATTGTGTGTCGGCAGGAGCCCATGGGGCATAGGCAATAAAGATCAGTGGATACATGAATAAAATAGAAAACAAATGAAAAATAGGATCGATAAAGGCAAACATTGTTTTTTTGAAAAGTCTAACAAAAGAGACACAGCTTTGGTGAGATTGGTCCAAGTTACATCCCTGGGGAATCTGTCCTCACAGTCTCAAAAGAAAGGAGAAGATGTTGAGTGATGCAGAGGTCATGCAGAGGTCTTCTGGAGCGATCTCAGGTCCAGGCATACCTTCGACTTTGTGTTTGGGAAGGCAATGCTTGGTTTTCATAGCAGTGTTGTCTGGTCTACGATATTTCCCTAAAGCCCAAAGCTCTCTCTCTGTGTGTGTGTGTGTGTGTACCCTTTACAAACTATTTCATTTCATAATTTCTCCACTGAGAGCTTCTTTGTTTGGAACTCTGGTTACTCTAAGAGTTTAACCCACAGGGAAGTGAACAGAAATGACCCATCTTTTAAGTGGCCATTTCAATCTTTGAGTCAGACTATGCAAGAGTAAGGAGTGGAGGGGAGGGAGGGCATGTTATCGGTGGTGGATGCAAAGCCCAGTCCATTTAGAAGCCACGGAACCAAACTGTAGCACAGCTAAGAAATCCGTTGTAGCGACTGAGCCAACATAAGGTGGGACCCAGCAAGATGAGGATTTAACAGGCAAAGCCCTGTTTTTAGATTCCCAGCAGCAAATTATGATGGGAAGGATTTTGAGCAGGATACCGCCCTCGGGAGAGAGCCCCCTGCCGAAAACCAGAGGTATTCACTCTGTAAACAGATAATGCATCAAAACTGCTTGGAGAACATGATTCCAGTAAAACAAGATGGATATAAACCACCATCACCACCTTTGAATACTGTAAAATTAATCAGTATAGATTGTCAATATTCTGAAACAAAGAACTGACTGTAGATACTTTGGGTTTTTATTTTAGAACCTAAGTGATGGGATGTTTCTCTTTTCTCCTTGCTCTTCTCGGTAAGAACTGCACTGACACAGTAATAAAGTGTTCTGCACTTGTGTTTGTAAGTGTTTGTGTGGGAGAAGAATGTTGGTAATTTACCAAGCCCACTGTCAAAAAGAAGCACTATAGTATAATTTCTGCCATAGTATAATAATAATTTTAGTTCAGTAGGTTAAGCCAACTGCTGATTATTAAACAACAGTGAGCCCTGCCTTACACTCAAGCTGAAAGTCCCTTCAATAAACAGTTGTACTTCTTCTGTTACCCAAATATTGGAGGGGCAGTGAGGTTCACCTCCAGCTATGCAAAAATAAATGGAAGTGTGCATTTTCTTAATGTCTAAAAGAAGACATTCTATGTGTGTGCTCCTAATTCTACTCTCACTGAAGTAGTTGATAAAATTCACAGATTAAGTATTGAATTAAATAATAAATGCTATTTATTGAATGTTTATTGCCTGCCCGGCACAACATGCCTTACGTGCACCCACTGTTCAATCCATACAGCAGCCCTGCTATGATGTCCACCTTGCCTATGAGTGAACTGGGGCAAAGAAAGGTTAAGTAACTTTCCTGGAAAACGTGGTGTTATGGACTGAATTGTGTGCCCCTAAAATACATATGTTGGAGCCCTAA